TTAATTTCTGCCTAAATTAGCTGCCCATACTGGGCTGAACACGGGGTGTGAGATGGTTTCGGTTTGAGGCAAGCAGGGAGGAGAAGTAGATTTTTGATAGCTCCACAGTAGTTAACTGCTTGTTGAACTTACTCTGTGCACACTTTATGCAAGTGTTAATTTTGTAGATGTTGAATAATTTGATGGAAAGTGCCAGGCACTATTTCATGTAATCATGTATGAGGTGTAAAGGGAAACTTGGGTGAATGTTCAAATTTTAAAAAATATATTCCAGTGAAAGACACATTGCTGAGAATCTCCCTCGTGGCTCTTGCCCTCACTTCCAGTGTGCTCGTCCCGTTGTTCCTGCCATTTTCCCAAGCAGTTCTGGAAATTCTCTTTTGTGTCTTTCACAAGTGTGAGCAAAAACAGTAACTCCTGCCGAGTGTTGATCCAGTGACCAGGCAGACTCAGAACATTCCAATGTGTTCCCTTCTCTCTCCTTCACTGGAACCAGTACTGTGTAACTCCTGAGTCTTTCCTAACGTCAGAGTGACCCTGAAAGGTAAATATTCTGAATTGATTGTGGGCATAAAGTTCCCTCCTGCTCCTCCTTCCGCCCTCCTGTTCCTCCCCTTTCCTTCCTGCCCCTTCCCCTACTATCCCCTCACTTCTCTTTTCCTCTCCTCCCCTCCCCTGTCCTTCCCTCCTATCCTTTCCTCTCTCCTCCCTTCTCTTTGCTTTCTCTCTTTTGTTCTCTTCCTTTCTCTTGTGGTACTAGGGATGGAACCCAGGGCTTTTGTACTGAGCTATATCCTTAGGCCCTTTTAAAATGTTTAATTTTAAGGAAGGGTCTTACTAAGTTGCTCAGGCTGGGCTTGAACTTTTGATTGTCTTGCCTCAGGCTCCCAGAGTGCTGCAATTATAGACAGGGCTAACAGGCGTGGCTGCAAATGTGTATTTATAACAAGTATTTAGATGATACAGGCCCTGGACCTACACACTTGCAAGCCACTGCCCTGTCCCCTGGAGCATTCCTTATGTGCTGGTGCTTAATCATTTCTGGTCAAAACTAGTAAGAATGTGGCCCACTCTTCCATGGTCACTCTGGCCAAGAGCTGGTCCCTGGGCTGAGAGGAGGAGGAGGAGGAGGAGGAGGAGGAGGAGGAGGGGGAGGAGGAGGGGGAGGAGGAGGAGGAGGGGGAGGAGGGGGAGGAGGAGGAGGAAGAGGAGGAAGTGCGATTGGTCATCAATAGATGAGCACAGTCTTGACTTTCCACTTGCTGATTCCTTAACATTTTCAACCTTGCTAAGATGATTATTTCTCCCCTCTCTCACCTTTGTGAATGTCAGCTGTTGGTTGTTCAGTGACCAAATCTTGCACCACAGGTTCATTAGTCATTTTTCCAATGTCTTCTGAGGTAAAAAGGAAAGGTGAGATGTAGTGGGAACAGGTTTTGGGGAAGACTGATGATGCATAATTTCAAATAGGAAAATCAAAACAGCCAACTTTTGAAGACTAAATAAAAATTCTGAAGTTGTATCTTCTAAACATTATAAGAGGCTGAAGTTTTGTTGCATTTTACTAGAAAGACAAATGAGCCTCTGTGGAGCCAGCGTGGCCCACTTCCTTTCAGTACAACCTAATGAATTTCTCTACCAGCTTTGGCTTACTGTAGCATGGAAAACCACCAGGCTAGTGCTGAGGGTTTATTCATAGCCTCAACCTTTTTTTTTTTAATTAATTGCTTTCTAAAAATGGATTAGTGCTTATCTTACTTTTCTCTCATTGTTGGGACAAAATGCCCAACACCCAAAATTAAAGGAGGAAAGGTGTATTTAGCTCACAGCTAGCGGAGGTTTCAGTCCATACTTGGCTGACTCCAAGGCCGAGTGGCACATGGCAGAGAGCAGCAGCTCATGGCAGTGGAAAACAGCAATGAACATAGGGAGGGGCAGCAGCTGAGGCTTCTAGCCAGCCTCTCTCCCCTCCTTATATTGTAATGCAGATTACCCACCCCAGGGCAGGAGTGGCATTCATTTCTATAATCCTAGCATTGGATCATGAATTAACCACAAACTCTGGAAGCTGCCCCATGACTGCATGAGGTTTTTGGGGTGATACCTAGACACAAACCATAGCAATGCTAAACTTTTCATCCTGAATATTTTAGAGTTTGAGTTGCTTTTTGTATACATGTAAACTGCAAAGACACATGTTTGTTTGCTTTCTTTTTATTCTTCTTATTTTTTTAATGGTATTGGTGATTGAACCCAAGGCTTTCACACTGAGCTACATCCTCAGCCTTTATTCTGTTTTGAGACGGGATTATGCCAAGGCTGACCTTGAACTTGGTACACTTGGTGGTCTTCAACAACAACAAACAACAATGAAAACTTTTTCCTACAAACTCTGGGGAATTGCTTTTTATTTTCTTTCAGGTAAACTTTTCTTTTTTCACAATGTTGGAAATTGAACTCCAGGCCTTGTGCTTGCCAGGCAAGTGCTTACCACTGACCCCTAGGTTAAATATTCTTGAGAGGTATAGCACAGATTTTTTTCTAAGGAAATTTAGTGTCTACTTTATGTAGTTGACTGGACTTGGCTCTGGTAGTTTGATGGAGGGCTATGTCTCTTTTTGTGTCACAGTTTGAATTTGAGGAATTCTTGCTCAGTTGGTGCTAATTTGAAATCAGAAGAGGTCTTGGAGAAGACTTCAACTTCTTAGGAACCAACAAGAGAACTCTTTGGCTCAACTTTTCATCTTTAAAGGTGTCTTCTGTCTCTCAGACTAGTGCTTTAGGCGAGGGTCAGGGACAGATCCCATAGCTTATGACCTTTATAAAACTTAAAGCACCTTGCTTATGGGAGGGATAGCAGCCTTGGCCTAGCTTGAAGGGCTGGAGAAGACAGCTCATGATTTGTTTTTATTAATTGTCTATTGGTATAAAATATATTTGTATTTTAGGGAAGGGTCTACAGCGTATTCAGGGTCTCACTACTAGATTGGACTTGCAGTGATCCGCCTGTTTACAGCCTCCCAAGAGCTGGGATTACAGGCACGTGCCACCACAACCAGTCTCAGTTACATCTCAGCGCGCCCCAGATGTGGGGCCGTCATGGCAGGCCTGGGGATTGAACCCCTGGCTCCTGCACCTGCTTGCAGGTGCTTTAATCCGCTGAGCTATTTGTTTTTT